TCTTCTGACTCGGGGTCTGGTTACTGAAGGCCCTGTCTCCAGTTGGAACTGGTTTTCCTGGCTGTCACTCAGCAAGCATCAGTGTAGCCCTCGAAGCCTGGGATGCTCACGAGCACATGTTGGGGTTTCAGTAGGAGTTCGGAAAGCCACATGGGCCTGCCCTCCTCGAGGTTCACTGGGTCCGTTCAGGTCCTTGCTTAGGCGTCCTCGTCATCAGGTAGGAGGTCTGGGCAGGGGCTGCCTCTCTGCCTTTCCCAATCAGCACACCCTAGATTTGGGCCCAGAGTGATTGCAGGAACTCAGTGTGGTGACTGCTGGCTTGAGGGGTGACTCAAGAGCTGGCCTCAGACCTGGGGAGGTGCCAGGGCCCAGCAAAGGTGTGTGTCTGCCTCCTGGCTTCAGAGCTCTCTCTTCACTGGGATGTTCTTGGCCTTAAGGCTTGGAAAGTGTCCTCTGTGGGCATGGTTTTCGTCACCACACACAGGCTCTGGGGAGGCTCCCCTCTTCCTCTCCCCACCCCCATACAGTCACTACAGCTCAGGTACCGAGGTGGACCCCAGGTAATGGTTTGCATGAGTGGGCCCCAGTTACTTAACTTTTTCATCTGTAAAGTAGATGTAAATAATACCTCCCTCATTAGAATATAGTCCAGAAAGAGTCGCGGAAATACAGGAATTTGGGACACATCAGAGGTCATTTCAGGTTGATCGGGGAAAGACATTTGATTGAAGAAATGGACAATTTGCTGCCTAGAAAAAAAAATAAAGTGGAACTTGACCCTTAAACTTTACATCAAAATAAATTCCAGATAGATTAAAGATTTAATTATAAAAAATGACACTGTAAAATTACTGGAAGAAAATGTGGAAGAATTGTTTTGAAAACCTTGGAGAGGGGAGGTCTTTCTAAGCCTGAGAAAACTGAGAGGAGCTGTGCAAGAACACTGGGGTGCAGTTAGGTCCACACAGATACATTTCCACAGGAACAGAGCCGACATAAAAGTCAGAGAAGTGACACATTGGAAAAACAAGTCTCTCTTTTCATAGAGACAGATTAATTTCCTTACTATATAAAGAATTCGTACAAATCAAATACAGAAAAGACCAACATGGGGAAACACGCAAAGGACAGACACGGGTGATTCCTGGAAACGGAGCTGCACTGCTCCCCACACTTGTGGCCCAGGACATGGGGCTCGGTCCCGGCTCCCCCGTGACAGGCCCTTGCGACCCGCCGGTTGTTGGCACGCTCGGCGCCTCACTTCCTGAGCTCTAAAATGGGGGTAGCAATAGTCCCTATTATTAAATGCATTAGCGGGTGTTGTTACCAGGAATGATGTACCTTGGCTGTCTTCTTGAAGGAAAGAATTCGGTCAAGAGGCAGAGTTTGTGCAGCATAGGACAGCAAGAAATGTATTAATTAGTAAAAGCAAGTACACTCCAAGGCATGGAGCAGGCTGACCCAAGAGAGGGATGCAGCCTCCTTACATTGTTTGAGGGTTTTTATCTTTGTGGGTAGAGCTGTCTCCCCCTCTCCCTCTCCAGTACCTCTCATTCTCCTGGCTGGTGTGTCTCCTACTCCCTTCCTGCTCCCCAGGTTGTCTGAGCTCATGACAACACCCTAGAACCGGGTGTACATTCTGATAAGCAGGATGGTATCTCTCTCTAGCTTCTAACAACATACCTCTTTGATTTAGGGGCATGTGCAAGCCTAGAGTCCTGCTGGGCTAATAAGGTATTGGTGCACTAAGTGAGGGCAGCCGCCAGGGGTCTTGACCCAAGTAGGAGCTGCAGCAAGGGGCTTTCTATCCAGGGTGAGCCCTCTTTCTCCTGCTCATTTCTGTCTGTCTACATGTCCTATCTGTGAGACCTGGAGGACATGGAGGGAGCACCAGGTGCTGTGTGAACGCTCGATAGACAACATGTGAAGGGAAGCCCAAGCTCACCTGCAAGGGGATTATTTTAGGATAAGAAATGTGCCGTGATGAGCCGCTTCGCCCCGGCGTTGCTGACCATGGGAGGAACGGGGCACTCACACCGCTGATGGGAGTGCGCTCTGCCGGGCATCGGAGTGCGCCGACCCTCTGACCAAGCAGCATCCTCTTGACATGTCTCACATACGGGGTCTTCACACAGCCCTGTCTGAAAAGCAGAAATTGGAAACAAACGTCCTTCAGCTGGTTAAGTAGTTTATAATATGTCCATGGTGTGGATGATTTTGCAGCTTTTAAAAAAGGCAGGTCTACTTATGCTGATGTGGAATCAGCTCCTGTGGATATTAAGTAGTGAGAATAAAGTGCCGAGCAGTGTGTAAAAGAATTATATTTGTGCGAAAATGAAGAGTGCACGTGTGCGTGGGCCCCGCTGGGCTCCAGACAGACATCCTGGGGAGTGGAAACAGGCATTGGGAGTGGGGCTGCGCTGTGGCCAAGGGACGGCAGAGCCGGCGAATTTTCCTGTTTCATAATCTGAAAAAAACTTCTCTTGCGACGGACGCTGTTGTGAGCAGTAACGACGTCACCAAGGGTGTTCGGAGCAGAGAGTGTAGTCTGCCGGCCCCAGGTCTTAGCTCCACCACCCTGTGACCTAGGGCAAGTTTCTGACCTCTGTGCCTCAGTTTCCTCATCTGTAAAACGGAGACTAAAACAGAACCTAACGAGCAGGGTTGTCAGCATGAGCTGGGCGGATCCCTGTCACGCAGCAGTGACGCGTCCTCTGCTCGTCCCTGCGTGCTCAGCTGCCCTGTCAGGCAGTTGGAGAGAACTGTCCCACAGGGGCTCAGCTCTGAGCTGTCTTCCTCTCCCAAGCAGGAAAGCCTTTTCCTGACCGACCGCCCTTGAGACGCCTTCCTCCTGAGAGGGAGGCTGGTTCCTTCGGTGCCTGCCCTGCCGCCAGCTGCCCGACTGCAGTGGCTGTCAGCCTAAAGTTATAAAATCGTGTGTGAGGAACCTTGGGGTTTGTCCACCTGTCCTTCACCTTGGATGGTCGTGGAACCTGCACCCCAGGAAAACACACCCTCACTCGGGTGGGCTAAGGCTTGTGGCTGTACACATCCGTGCGTGCAGTGTCCCTCTGGGCTCTGTCCCCTGGCCCGGCTCTGCACCCACGCCTGTTTCGGAGCCCCAGCACTGCCCAGCTCGCCCGGCTGCCACTCAGGGGAGAGTGGGCAGCCCGGGCAGCTTAGCGTGGCCTCCGGCGTGCACAGAGCCTCTTGCTGCCCGGCCTGGGGAGCCCCAGGACTCCACTCCATCTTGGTGCCTGTGGCAAAATGGAAGAATTTGGAGGAGACATGAAAAGGCTGACCTGACACCGCAGTGGCCACCAGCTGTCCATTCAGGGAGGCCCTCATGTTCTCCTTTCTGCTCTCAGGGGTCTAACGTGATGGAGGAGCAGGACCTGCGGGAGATCGGCATCAGCGACCCACAGCACCGGCGGAAGCTGCTCCAGGCCGCACGGTCCCTGCCCAAGGTGACTGCTCACAGCCCTGCAGCCTCCGCCTTCGCCAGAGCCAGGGCCCTGCCCCTAACACCACCTAGGCCAAGAACAGGGAAGGGTGCTTGGCTCTGGGGCAGGCAGATCACTGTGGGGTGTCTGCCCCCCATCCTGGGAGCCCCAGAGGGCAGCACAGAGTCCTGTTTACTTCTTCCCCAAGTCCTGAGGCCCCAGACAGTCAGCCGAGCACGGGGGACAGTCAGCCGAGCACGGGGGACAGTCAGCCGAGCACGGGGGACAGTGAGGACCTGGTCCGGCCTCAGGAGGGGGCTGCAGGCATCCACCCGGCATGGGAGCCTGGTGCCCACGGGTTGGCCTGTCACCTGGAGCCCCTTTGGGGTCTCTCCTGAATCACTTGAGTCTAGGCCAGCCTGTGCTGACTGCTGGCAGTTTTCCCTGGGCAGCCAGGGCTGGTAGGGCCTAGCTTCTCTTCAGCTATGCTGCACTGAGTCCAGTGTCCCCTTGTCACTTCCGCTTGCCCAGAACTCAGGAAGCACAGACAAGTCCCAACAGTGAGGCCAATGCCTGCTTCACAGACACATGCCGTTTTTTGTCCCACCAGGTCCGTGACCTCATCAGAACAGTCAGATCCTTCTGCAGACCCCCCTCCCCTATCTGGTCTTACTTATTGGGGCTGTCTACCTGAAACCCCGGATACTCTGGTGGTCTCCAGATGGGGTTCCCCAGATGGGGAACCTGAGCCCGGAGTCGGGGTAGAAAGGGCTGTGCGAAGGAAGGGACTCGGGGTGCCCAGGACCCAGGCCCACAGGCCCTCCTTGGTCCTCAGGAGCTGGCCCATCCCTGCCCCAGCTGCGGTCTCTCGTCTATGTGACGGGCCTGGGTCTCCATGTCCCCGGGGTCCTTGTCCCATAGTACTGAGATACCAGGCCCGCCTTCCCTCCTCCTACAGGTGAAGGCTCTGGGCTATGACGGGAACAGCCCCCCGTCGGTGCCCTCCTGGCTGGACTCCCTGGGGCTGCAGGACTACGTCCATTCCTTCCTGTCCAGTGGCTACAGCTCCATCGACACTGTGAAGAACCTCTGGGAACTGGAGCTGGTCAATGTGAGTGCAGCCTCTGCTCAGGCCTGGCCTAGGCTGCCAGCCAGCCCGTGACAGGGAGCTCTGGGGCCGGAGGGGAGGCGTGGGCCCAGTCGATGCCTGACCGGCCCTCTCTTCTCCTGGTCCAGGTCCTAAAGGTTCACCTGCTCGGCCATCGCAAGCGCATCATTGCCTCCCTGGCTGACAGGCCCTACGAGGAGCCGCCCCAGAAGCCCCCGAGGTTTTCCCAGCTGAGGGTGAGTTGGGGAGGGATGGAAAGGAACATGTGTGTACTCTTTGTATTGCTAGGAATAAAGAGAATTCTTTAGGAATTCTCCACCGTGTGACCTGTGTAGTAGAGAAGCAGACGATCCCTCCCCTCGTCGTCGGGGCCAAGTCTGCCCCTAAGCCCAGGTCAAGGGGTGGGGACAGTTGTTTGGGCTGGTTATTTATTGATTACATGCCCCCCATCCACGTCAGAGAAGCTTGAGATGGACTATAATAAAGGGTCCAGTTTAAGTATGAATAGGAAGTAAATGTTGGGGAAAGCAGGAAAACAAATAGCCAAATCCCAGAGGGCTGGGTGCTGGTTCTGAGTGGGAACGTCAGCTGTGCTCGGGGTGGCAGAGCCAGGGGCTGCCAGGGGTGTCTGACCTGAGCCTGACACAGAGCTTGAATACACAGCAGGACCTGGGTTCCCCCGTCCCCCGCCACCAAGTCTTCTGAAGGAAAATTCCTGCGGCAGGGTGGGTGAAAGAACCTGAGATTTTTTAAAACCTCACAGATGGGTTGTTGCTCAAGCCAGGAAATCCCTGACTGCAAAAACAGGTTAGACCCTGCACACCCACATTCCAGGATGAGCATCCCCCCAAACCTTCCAGGCTGAGCTGCCGATGGGCAGGGATGAGCCCTCGATCAGCGCTGGGCTCCGAGCTCCTCAGGCCACACACGGCAGCCTCAGAAAGTGGGGGCTGTTTTATCCTCCGCCTTCATGAGAAGGTGGAGCAGACTGGCTCTGACATTCAGCTGTGAAAAGGAGACTGATACCTGTCCTCTGTGAGGCAGGGCCTCAGGGTGCTACCTGGAAGCGCTGTGTGTTTTCTCAAGAGCTTTGGATTTGGTCACATGCCCCAGAGACCCATGATGGATTGCAACAGATGATTTTATCTTTCATAAACGAAAGCACTTGCCAGGCCAGCCCTATAACCTCCCCTTTCCCTGTACAGCTCAATACCAAAGGGTGTGCTAGTGAACTCTGGGGGTGCTCACGGTGGCTGCTCGCCCACAGGACTAGGCAGTCAGGGCCTCTTGGCTCCAGGAAAAATCTGGTCGCTTTGACTGTCCAGGCTGGACGCAGCGGCCCTTCTGCCCACAGGCTTCTGGCCAGCGAGCCTTTCGCCTGGCGCCTCCTTGGTGCTGGCCCCACCTCCATGCCTGTTCTGTCTCACTGGTTGTGCTGCCTGTGCCAGGCCCTCAGCAGCCTCAGGGCTGCTCACACCCAGAGCCGGGGCCTGGCCTGATGGGCTCCAAGTTTCACCCGGATTTCTCCCCACTTCAGTGCCAAGACTTGCTCTCCCAGACGTCGTCCCCCCTGAGCCAGAATGACTCCTGCACTGCACGGTCCGCCGACCTGCTGCTACCTCCAGGGGACACGGGCAGAAGGCGGCATGACAGCCTTCATGACCCTGCAGCACCCTCTCGAGTGGAACGCTTCAGACTCCAGGTGGGGCAGGAGCGGGGGCTGCAGACCGGGGTCCCCTCATTCCTCTGGGCAAGACAGTGCCTCCTCGCCCCAACCGCCATGCCCAAGCCCTGTTGGGCTGGCACTGGGAGCAGGGGAAAGACACCAGCCTCCCGGCATTCCCCAGCCAGCTGCAGCCAGCGGCCTGTGTCAGCCGTCCAGCCCCTAAGCCTCCAGGTGCTATGACCCCATGACTCACTTCAGCTGTCACTGCTGGGGCCTCCCCTGCTTCTTATGTGGCCTGGACGTCCCTCCTCAGAAGTCTCCCCAACCTCCCCCAGCACCTCAGGCCACCATCCCTCAGCTGCTCCCATCCGGCCCCTTCCCGGCTCTCTGGTTCGCACCCTGCCCGTTCCCCAGAACTTCCTCTCCCCTCAGCTCCACACCCTGCCCTTCCACTGCCCTGCTAAGCTGCAGCCCGGATCACATGCGGTTCTTCCTACTGCTTCTGTAACCCCGTGGTGGACGCAGCTGGCAGCCTCCGCCGGGCCCTGGGGCCACCACAGCCCTTGCCGTTGAGCAGGAGCTGCCCTCAGATTGGCAGTGTCCCTCGTCGCCCTCAGGGCAGACTTCAGCTTCACTCCTTTTCTGTCTCACTCACACTTCTCATTTCTGGCCTCGGGGCCTTTCCCTACCTGTCCGCAGCATGGCCACGAATTTTAACAAGAGTTAAAAAGTATGTTGTCCCGCAGTTCTAGTTGCTCTGTATGGGGAGACTGCACAATGCTGGGAATGGAAGGCACAAATATTTCCTGAATCTTGTCCCTCCTCCCCCTAGGGACCCCATCACCTCACACCGGGCCTGCCTCCTACCCCACCCCCACGCCCACCCCCACCACTGGCCGTGGAAACCTCAGTGACCCCCACCCCAGGATCAGGTCCAGGGGCCTGGACGGGGACATGAGGCACCCGGGGACCTGGCGCCTGCTCCCCGCGCTAGCGCCGCCCCACACAGATGGCTTCCCCTCTCTGGTTTTGCTTGTTTCCCATCCCCCTAAGACGCACCTCAGACACCACAGAGCCTTCCCGACCGAGCCTGCTTTCAGAGGCTTAGGTCCCTGCTCCTCTGCCTTTTCTCTGGCATAGATAAGCCCCGCCTCTGCCACAGTGCCTTTGAGTGGCTTGCCTCCCTCCTGCCATCCCCACCTGACCCTCGACCTGGCGGTGGCTGGCTTCCGCCCTTGGGCATGCTGGAGCCGGAGCGGGCAAGCAGACCCATGACCCCGCGTTTCTGCAGGAAGAGCACCGCGAGGCCAGGCTGACCCTCCGGCCCCCCAGCCTTGCTGCCCCCTATGCCCCTGTGCAGAGCTGGCAACACCAGCCGGAGAAACTCATCTTCGAGTCCTGNTGGAGGAAGAACTAAACTCCCCTTGGCCTTGAGTCTCAGCTACGGGCTAAGACAAGAGCCCTTGCCTCCCTCTGGTGCAGCTCACTGGTGGCTGACCGTCCCCATGTGCTGTCCTGTGCAGTAGGAGGTGGGCAAAGCGCCCTGCTACACTTGGTCGACAGGCCTGGGTTCGGGCTCCTGTAGATGGCTGACCCTTGGCTCTAGAGCCAGCCTCCCAAGCTCGCCCTGCATTCACTCTGCGATAGCCCTGCCTCCTCACACGGGGGTCCTTTGCGGAGGGAGAACTGGGCCATGTGTGCCCATAATCAAGTCCTGGGTTTAGGGTGAAGTTCAACTGACAGCCCTCTCTTTGCTTTGGTTCTCATTTGGACCAAAAAGAGGCAGCTCTGTGATCTGAGCATGGCAGGGACCGGGCTATGTGGCCTCAGGCAAGTCATTCCCTCGACAGCCTCATCTTCCTCATGACTAAATGAGACAGCTTCCCTCCAGGTGCAGCCTCCCTGCCCCGGGTCCCTCCGTAGCCTCACTCGCTCGGCCTCTTAGCCTGGGCATCCACTCGGCACTCCCCACTGTCCCCAGCGCAGGAGCCCTTAACCCGCTCCTCTGCCCTCTTACTGCCTCCATGTGAAGCCCCCCTGGACTCCACCACCACCCTGCCCTCAAGCCCCACAGACCCTGGGGGCTCCCCTTCCCCAGCTCAGCACATACCCACCCTCTCCGCAGACCTCGCCCCAGCTCTTCACAGAGAACTAGAAAAGACCAAAATTGTGAAGTCAGTAGCATTGGCTTTAGCTAGTCAGCCTCCTTTTTTTTTTTTAATGTCAGTGGGTCCTTCCAACCTTAAGTTTCCTTGGTCATGCAGCAGATTTTAATTGAGCACAGACCACATGCCAGGCATTACTCGAGGTGCATGAGGTGAAGTTGTGAGTGAGACACACAAGTTCCTGGCCCGTAACAGCCCTGGGACCCTCCTCAAGTAACTCAGCCTGTTTTCTTGTCTGAAAAGGGTCCACACCAGTGTGCCAGCACTCCCAAATGTTCCCTTCTTAGTCTTTTTCTATTATTTTTGAATGAAGACCAGCCCAGCAGTTAAAAGAAATTTCCAGAA